TATAGTTCCATAGTTTTTTCAGCAGTGCGACTTATTGCAATATAATCACTTTTGTTTATTTTGTTACTATCTTTCCATTCATGAGATTTTGTAGTACATAAAAGACAGTCAGCTCCTCCTAAACCTTTCTCTAGAGTGCGCATTTTAAGATCTTTCATACTACTTTCGATAGCTATTTTTAATTCATATTTAATATTATTATATTCAAATTCCATTCCGTTCTTCTGTAAATACTTTTCTCCAGGTTCAAATACTTTGTTAACTAAATACAAGAATTCAGCCGACTCTTTTTCAGCGATTAATGCCAATGGACGGCACCAGTGTGAGCTATTTGGCGACTCATTCTTCCATAACACTCCACCTGATGATGAATCTGTTAGAGACAGTGGAACACACATCTTACTAAAAATATTGGCGCTTTCCATCGGTGTGTTTACTGATTTGTACATGGCCATATTTCCGGCACCGTCATGCCCCGTTTTCTCCCGATATTCCAGTTTTGTAGGTACAACTATGTTTTGTTGATGTAGCATTTCTATTATTCGTTTTACAGTTAATTGTATCACTAATTCGCGATCTTGTATAAAAATGCCGGTATTATTTCTCCACCGTGCTGTTAAAGGAAGGAGTGTCTTAGAGTGTGTTCGAATATATCCTCTATTCGGTATTTTAATATATGGATTACAAAACGACTTAAGAAAATCCATCTGATTTCGACTTATATCGAGATGTGATTTCAATGCCACAGTCTGATCGAGATTCAACTCATTTCGTGTATTATTTAAATCATTATTTTCGTGTAATTGTTTTCCGAGTTCAGCGAGTTCTTTATTATTTCGCTGATGGAGCAAATAGCCTAAAACTTGGTTAACCGTGAGATTATTTGATGCTGCAAAGTCGTCAAGCTCATCACTGAGATCACTTAATCTTCGGTTTTTTTGCTTATTTCCAACTTCACTAAAATCTCGAATAGCTGTCCGTTTTGGTGGTCTCGGTCGCTGATGCAGATCGGATCTATTTACTACAATATCACAGAATTCTATTTCTCGTCTTTGAGCGTTATGTTTTCGTCATAATTTCACTCGGTTTATCTTTCTTACTGTGTGTTGATAAATTTGATCTGAAATAATTTTCTTGTTTCCTTCCGATGTATCGACGTTGAACCACTCACAAATTTTTGTAACTGTTGCATCAGTGTCTTTTTTTGAATCGTTAAAAAATAGTTGGTAAAGCTGATTTAATGTCATCCCCGTATTTTTAAAACTCGGGTTGTTTAGTTGAGAAGAGGTTTTTGTAAAATCCATGATTAATGACAGACCCGTCTACACACTGTCTCAGACTCACAAATGCTGGGCCAACAAATGGGCGATTAGCAGTGTGCATCAGACATCTCTCTATAACTATGGTGAAAATACCATACTCACAAAAGAGGTAGTCCTGGCTGACTCCCGTGCTATCCCGTAATGCATGGGACTCTCTTTGGAGACGAATTTACATGAATCCTTATCAGCCTACGTTGTCCTGCAAACCATTCCACATTTCCATTAATAATCGTCGCTAATATAGTGTTGTTATTGCCTTCGAATGGTCGCGCCGCTTCACGTGTCACGGGGGCGATACAGAATGGAAGCACCGACTTTTTACCACGGAAAGGTCGTCCGGTCAAAATAACCGATCGACAGTTGAATGGTCTGGTGAAAACCATTAACAATAAAACTGGCCTTAGTCAACGCCAGATGGCGAAGCCGTACAATGTCCATCAATCGACCATCAGGCGTACGTTAAACAAGAGAACATCAATCGTGATCAGAAAAAGAAAAAAAGCGCCAAAGATGGATAACGATACTCAAGAGAAAATGGCCAAGAAAAACTGTGGTAAACTCTACAGAATGCTTTTGAATGGTTGAGACATCATCCTTGATCATGAGAAGTATTTTGGTTTGTCAGGTGACAATGTTCAATGCAATCAAAGATTTTACACAACAGATCCATCAACAACTCCTTCCGATGTGAAATATAAAAAGAAAAAGGAATATCCACCCAAAATTCTCATTTGGATGGCAATGTCAGCGAGGGGTGTGTCAGATATTTATGTCCATAAGAGCAAAGAAGCCATTAAAAGTGATATCTATTTAAATGAATGTATTAATAATCGATTGTTGCTATTTATCGAAGAGCATCACAAAAATAATGATTTTGTCCACTGGTCCGATAAAGCCAGTGTACATTACGTCGGTGTTGTCCTCGATCGATTAAAAGAAGAAAATATCTCCGTTGTGCTGAAACAAAACAATCCACCAAACGTGCCGAGACCATTTGGAGTCTTTTAGAACAACGGTTTACGCCAATAATTGGCAAGCCAAAGATCTGGATTCATTAGCTCGTCGAATCAAGAAAAAAGCCAAAGAACTGGATCAGAAACAGGCTGCGACATTTCCACAATTACTTTTGCATCGCAGGTTAGCTTAAGATCATCTCCTAGGTGAACTATCAGTCAAGGCTAAAGAGCTCCACCTACCCTAGCTAAGGCTTATGAAACTTGGTTTGAGTGAACCTTGCTTCTGGCGGCCTGTACTCGCCCTGTCATCCTGTCGTCTTTGTGTTTCTGCAGCATTTATAGGTGTTTTGATGCCATCCAAAACTCCACCACACCCTGTTGGCAAGATGGCTGAATTGTCCGGGAGTGCTTATTTGATCAATTGCTTGATCTTATTCGCAGCTAATCATCATACTAATGGCCGTTCCACTATCCGCAACCTGTGGACCCGCTTGGTAGCATCCAGCTTTGCCCAAAGAGCGTTCGAGATGTTATACACTATCTGATGCAGTTTCTTACACTGACTCTGAATAAGATTTTGTATGGAATAAACACGTTTCTGAATCGAGAAAAATATGAAATACGTGAAAAACCATGGTTTTTTCGAAAGCCTCCTGTATGGTCCAGGAACATTTGCACTAATTTGCGCTAATTATGGTGAGAGAGGACATATGGGAGAACATTCTGGCAAAGCTTGAATAAGTTTCAATTTGGGGGCTGGAGGGGGCGATCATTTTACTGATATAGCCGTTTGGAAAAGCCCAGTAGAAAAAAAGAATTTTTTCTCAGAAATCTTCAGTAGTAATTGATCACGCTTTGTTTTATAAATCGGTAGCGGGCATTAGGCAAATTTGTAATATATATTGTTTTTGGTTGTCACGTCAGCATATTTTGTAAAAAAAAATGTGTGTTATATAGATGGCGCTATTTTCAGGCTGATTTTTAATTATTTTCAATTAGCTCATTTTCCACTCTACTTGAAATTTGTAGTAAAACTTTAAATGCCATTAAGTAGTCCATAGTCCGAAGTAAATCTAGCACCAATTGAATCTTGCAAAAGTGCACTTTCGATTTTCCACCTAATGTCCACCTGGTTGCCCATAGTGCCCTGTCCGAACGACGATAGCTGAAGAGTCGGGAGTTGCATAATTTTGTAGAGTAACGTCCGAACTATTCATGCATGCAAAAAGATTACCAACATTGTATAGTAGTTTTCTGAGAACGGAATTGGTTTTCCAAAGATCCTCCATAAACCCGATTTTTAAAATTATTTCAAAAGTTGTTTCCGCTTGTGAAAAGTTCCGCTCAAGTTTTGGCTATCGAACACGAAAACCGCAGGTCTCTATCTCGTTCCTATCAAAAGTTATTCAAAAAACATCCACCTGCCTTGACTTCTGGCGCCGATAGTAGGCGTAATAAAAAAACGTTTGAGTTTTTAGTAACAGTTAGCGCATATAAAGAACGTTGGACTCGTTTTCCGTAAACTACAAGAAGGATGGAAGTTGAAAACATCATTTTTTCTTATGCAGATGGGAGAGATTGTGTATTACAAAATTAAAAAAAGATTTTGAAAAGTGGTTGCTGTTCATTAGTAAGAGAAAATGTATCTTTTTTTCATCTACAGAAACAGAAGTTCGGTATCAATGCTGACCAAACAGACGCGGGATGAGTGACTTTCGGGATGACAAAAAATAGGGGATACATCAAGGAGGAAACAGCAGACTCCTGGACTCCAGGGGTCTATTGGAGTCCCTTGTAGTCCCAACGAGTACCAACAGGTCGATACGAGTACCGAGAACCCCATAAGAATATATTCATGAAACTATGCTATATTTTATTGTTTGTTTATTAATTATAATCAAAAATATATATCGAGAAAGATAAATTTGAAAGCTTTGCCAAGATTGGAAACAAAGGAGTCATAATAAAGGAACTATGGACAATGTTATTAGAGATGTTGTATTAATTGTTGACACATAGTAATCGGTTTTCATACAAAAGCAACAGTTCTACGAACTTCTAGACTTCAAGAGCCCATGGAGTCCAGGAATCTGCTGTTTCCCCCTTGGGATACATAGACATTTGCTTTCTTTTCTTTTCTATGTTGTGACACTGATCAGTATTTGGCACGACAAATTGCTCTTCGGAAGAGAGTTAGTTAATAAAAGCGTTGGGATATGAAAAAAGACCTTTTAGAAAAGGTTTTATATTTCAATCAACTAGTCCTAAAAATGGAAAGGTAATCGAGCAAATTTCTTATAGTTGACTGTTATGATAAAATATGCTTTAAAATTTTGAAAAGTTCATTCAGCAAAGGCCAAGGTAGATCATTATAAGTTTCACTACATAACAGTATAATACCAGCGTAAGTCACTTATATCGACACGTTAAAAGTATTCATTTCACGAAATCAGTTGTTTAAAGGAAACGGTTTTAAGAGATGTCATGGATAATTCGAAAATGAGTTTAGTTTCTACTCACTGTGCATTATCAACCTTAAAACACACTAAAGAAAGAATCTCATTAATAAAACATTTTTAATTCAAATACATCATTAATTAAAATACATAAAATTTTTTACAAAATCAAAACCATAATATGTGATCGCACAAAGTGTTTTATTTCATCAAAAACGCGTAACATCCCTTTTTCAAATATTTGAAACAATTTTTTGAAATAATATTTATTCTTTGGTTTGTTGTTCTTCAATATAAGCTTGTTTTTCAGCTTCAGTTAAGTCACCCGACGGTGGACTTTCAACATGATGTAAATTATGCTTACCAGCTACTTCAATTAATACTTTTGCTTGTGTCGTCGATAATAATTCAGTTGGTGGATTTTCAACATGGTGTAAATTATGCTTACCAGCTACTTCAATTAATACTTTTGCTTGTGTCGTCGATAATAATTCAGTTGGTGGATTTTCAACATGATTTAATTTGTGTTCTTGTGTTACTTCAGCCAATACAGCAGCCTTTTGTTGAATAACCTCCGCATCAGTGTCAGATGACATGTTCGATATTTATGGAAATAAAATTTCTACTACAAGTAATTAATCGTAAATGAATAATGAAGTTGAATTTTACTAAAAGTAATTGACTGAGTGGTAGAAGAAAATGATGAAACGTAAAAGAGATTCGTTTTTGCTCTCTACAGTAGCTTCTTCTTATCTTTGCTATGAATCATTATTGACAAAGGTTATAACAAGAAAAGTTGTTCGTTTTCATCTCATCAAAAAACAAATACTGCAAATATCATGAAAGCTTTTTTCAAACTATTTCTCGAGACACGCTTAATGGGTATCCAACATGTGAGCGAAGTAAAATTAAAGCCAATAATAATGGTAAAATTCTATCGAAACTTTTGTGAAACACTTCTCTCTAAGAAGGTAAGTTCATACAAACAGAAAATGTGAAAATTCTTACTAGTCGATTGACTAGCTATTTTTGAAAGTCTTAGTCGAAAATTCTAATATTCGAGAAAATATGGCACATAGACTTATTTATAAAATGTTCATTGTCAGCACGGCGATATAGAAAAAGGAAAAATGAATGAATTTATTTTTTTCTTGTAAATCCTATAACTTTGCAAAGAAAGGTCGTGTAGAGCTGGGAAATGTCTCATTTTAATTAGAATTTCGTGGGCTACAAACATCACTTATTAAGAAAAGTTTCAGAGATGTTCTGGAGTTTCTGGAAAACTGGTTTTCCCTCTAACTTAAAAAGTCTAAGTTTCTCTTTTCATACTCCTATACAGTAACTACTTGAGTACATGATGACACAAAGATATCCAAAAAATGTTTATCGTCCCGTGCAGAAAAGATATTTCAAAAATAGCCCTAAGATCCAAAACATTAAAAGGTGAAAAAGGTTGTTGATGCTCTTTCGAATGGCTTAATCAGAATTTATTTTTTAGCCACTCATACCTGAGATGGAGCAGTCACACTGAAGAGGATGGCACTTTTGGCTTAAAGTCGCGTTTTCACTCTAAGGAAAAAGCTTTTCAAAATTATTTTTTTACCAAAATGTAGCCCGCACTCTCTTCTATCGATTGATTTAGTTTTCATATTTTGTCGGTGCTAATGTAGCGTAAAAAAAGATTTTTATCAACCATACAAATACGTTTTGCCAAAAAACATAGACATCTCTATTGTTAAAGCCATAAGTCTAGATGCAAATGGCCAAGTGATTGCAAAATTTTACCATAGACAGCGGAGCCAACGGGCATTCTCCTGGTAGTTTCGCTATTTTAAAAACACCTTCGTTAGCGAGTTATGAGCAAACCAAAATCGTACAAATACTTTTTCCCGCCACAGTAAGTATCTTACAAAACACTCGTAGTGCTAGGTGAGTTACATTCATTAAATAATTTTGAAAAAACGATGATTGGAAACTTTGGTAAAAATCGTGCCCAAAGCTTAGTGTCTTTTAATCTTAATATATTAGTTGATTTAATTTATCATAGCTCGCTTCGCGTTGATAACAACAAAATATGACATTCTTAAAATCATATCATTTCACACTGAGAAAGGAATAGCTGTTCTGTTCGATTATGATACAAGCCTGGCAGCAAAGCGGTACGTCAAAACTGATCAAGGCTGATTTGAGCTCTTGAACAACCTGAAATATTTTTGTATATCCAAGTTACAGCAGCCTAAATGCCTTTCAGATAATTCTTCACCATATTGTTTAGCTTATCTAGAACTCTTTTTTATATTATTCACTATGTGCAGTATTTCAGGGCATTGATGTAATAGATCTAAAGGGGGCCGATAACAGGTCTAAAAATTTCTGACCCAGCCGGATCGGCCGGTCATATATTTTCTTTTGGCACTCGTCCATAGCTCTCAAACCATGAATTTCTAAGATGTCCTTTAGATCCAATTTTGTCGAAAACACTTGAAAAAGAGCCATAGATTTCTATGTCAGTTTTGAGAGAACCGACCTGGTTGTTTAAAGATCTCCTGAAAAAACGGTCGTCGAAATTTTTTCCAAATTTATTCTTGCTCATGAAAGCATAGTTTCGAATCTTGGCTAGCGAATGATGAAAAACGCTAGTATCTATCTTTTATTCCTTTTGATTTATTCAAAAACTGACCACCGGACTTGTATTTTGGCGCCGATGGTACTGCAACTAACATTAAGAAAGAAAACGAACGGAATATTCACATAGTAGAGATTGTCAGTACGGCTCTCGAAGTCTGTTGACAAAAAAGAGAAAACCAAACTAACCTTTTTAATCTGAAATATGAAAACGGTTGTTTTACTTAGCTCAGCAAATTCGTTTTCAACAAAGTAAATGGCATTATTTCCTCGCCAAAACAGCTAAACAGGTTTACCAGAGAGGCAAGGGTCTGATTCCCAAACCCAGGTTCACTCAAATTTCGAGTTTGAATTCAATTAAACATTGGTTTTATATTCAGTTTTTAACACTGAATCCGAAAAATATAGTTTATAAACCGAAAAAGAGCTCTTAATCGAAAAGACTTTGAATTTTTCGGAAAAACGGGTGATTCAAGTAATTCAAATTTTTCGGGGGTTTTCTTTCGATGGTTATGGATTTTACGGTTTTTAGAAATGATTGAGCATAACATTGCTACGAAAATCATAATAGATTTTTAACAAAAATCAATTTATGATTTATTCAAGCTTTCGATAAGAGACACTTATCATCATCAGGAAAAACAGAAAAGTGAAATACAATCTCTCTATATACAGTAAGAGTGCTAATTAATAGAGTATAGATAGAGAAGGAACAAGAAAAAGCTAATAATGTGATCACTAATTGATAATACATCAAAAGAAGAAGAAAAAGAAATAGATAGACAAGAGCTAATAATCTGACTCATAATTGAAAAGTTTGTAATAGTTTTATGCAAAGACGTTTAATTTAAATTTTACGTCATTTAAGGCTTTTCCGTTCATTTGGTGTGTAAATAGACACCAAATGCATAGCTACATTTAAGGACTCGGTTTGTTTTCTGATGTCCGTTTGATGTTCCCTCATTCTAATTTCCTTTTCTCTACCGGTTTCTCCAGTGTAACATTTTTCACAATTCAAGCACGGTATCTTATATACTAATTTCTTTTCTTTTTTGATTCATCTAGTCCTTTTTGGATGGGAAGAAATATACTTCTGATTGTAAAAGTTTTTCTGAAGCATACGTTAATTTCTATAAGCGGTAGAAGTTTTTCACATACTCGTTTAATTCTATGAGCGTTTAATTCTATGAGCTAATATGGTTGATTCTCGACCATAATAGGAGAGAAGAAAGTAGACTTTTTATGAAATCTATTATGATTTTTCTAGCAGTCTTATACTCAATAATTTCTGAATTTATTCCTACTGCTCCACCTTCAAATTGTTTACGGTTTTTCTTACGTTTGTTTTTCACCGTGTGGATTTCCACTGTCCGTCCACATCAGATAATTGCACACGAGTAAAAATCTAGTAAACTAGATGAATCGGACGATACTAGATTCTTTTTGACGCTTGATTAATACAGTCAAGCTTTCGACAAATTGATTGTCCTTTTCAAGACATTCAAATTAATACAAAAACTGAATCTTGACTGAACTAAACATTCTGAGCAACAAAGAAAACAGTATATGAATTTGCTAAATCTAGATTTAGATTAAGTATAAATTTTACCATCACACACGTATCCATCTTCGAGACAAATAACCAAAAGAAGCGGATAACATCGACATTTAATGCCCCTAGCTAATATCTGCCTGTCCGTAAACGCACTGCTTTCTTTTCGATCGTCGAAAGTGTCAAATATGTGATTATTCTTGGAATAAACTCAGAGTTGCATATTCCAGGCCCGACAACGTGCTCTCAGCTCATGTTTTGATGACGGCCGTAAACCGATCGCTTACCATCATTTTGACAGGACTATCTCCCCACATTTCTCACGTGTGACATATTTCAAGGATGGCCGCATACCGATTGTGCCAGATACCAAGAAGCCAATCGTGCTGACTGTCATCTGCTGTTGTACGTATGTTAAAGTTGATACCAGGGCAGGTGAAAATATTGTTGAATTTCTCAAAGACGACATCTTAAAACGTTGACCAAAAAAACTTCTGATGCACAAGATGTATTGTTTTTTCACTGCTACTCCAGTGCGTTTATTCTAAACAATAAACAGAATGAAATTAATTATTTATTTATTATAGAGACCTATTAATAACAAAGATCCTGGCATCGATGAAAGAGATAATGAACTGAATCTGACTACATGCTGTCAGTCAAATACATATATTAGAAAAATTCATTATGTACATAATTAAAAAACAGAATGAATGGGGAGCTAGTGATGATGCTAGTAGGTTAATTCTAACAAAACTGTGATATTTTGAAGGCTTGACACAAAACAAAATTTCTCAATTTCTTCTTTCTTTTGTATGAATAGGTAAACAACATTTCCGTTTTTCTTTTTTAATATAATAAACGATTGTAGAATGTACTCTTTAGTATGATAATATGGCATGGCTAATTAACAATCATCCTTCAGATCAGAAGTTCGAATTCTTCTTTTTACTTGAACGAAGGCACTTAAAAGTCCGTCATTTTAAAATTAATCTATGACTGAGTAATCTACATTTTACTGGAATACTTAGAAAAAAACTCCATTCTGAAAAATTCTGTAGTGGCGTCTACCAGACAAACTCGTCTTCAACCGTTTAATGCAGTTAATAGTGATAGTTTAGGAATAAGCTCACCGCCGTACAAAGCGTTTGATTTTCTCAGCAATAAGAAGATTGAATTTATTTCACCTGAGACTTCATGTAATTTGGAATTATTTTCTACTTTATAATGCTCTCGACTTTCTGTAAGTTGATATTTCTCATTTGCCAGAAAATCGACAAGGAATTTCTAAATTAGCTGGAAAATCGAATTCGCTTTTCTAAGAAGACAACTTGGTGGTTTTTTTCTTGCTTCTTTTACATCTATTAAAGTCTATACATTGCAACAAGTTGTCGTGTAACACATCTCTGCTCATTTTAG